GCTCTGCTGCATCAGTTCCTGCAGTCAGCTTCTTAGTAGCCATACGGGTACGTCCTGGCCTGGAGACGGGTGTCTCCCATCCCTTCATAACGACACCCTTCGGCTTCTTAGTTTTTCCCTGCTGCTTCTCTCCTCCCTCGGGTCCAGCAGCTCCACTAGTGCTGCCGCCAGTTTCCACACCATTTTCTCCACCAGCAGATGCCTCCTGTATCTTCTCTCCATCACCATTTCCAGCAGCTGCCTCCTCTCCCTCCTCCCACACACTAGGAGTCAGGTCCAGCTGCATGGTGATCTGCTCCATCTGCTGGGACACCCTTGCCTCCAGCTGTTTCTCCCAGCTCCCATACATCATGCCCTCAATGAATTTCACATCCTTGCTGTCAAACAACACACCCTTGGATGGTTCCCACAGCAGCCATCCCTTGCTCTCAGCAGCCAGCCCCAAATGCACACACCAGATTGCACTCGCCCCCAACTTACTGCGGTAGGTCTTGGGGACGTGGGCGACTGCCATGCAACCGAACACCCTCAGCATGTCCACCGGCGGCTTCCTCCCAAGCCACCTCTCCAACGGCACCCACGAGTCATCCCCAACCTTGGTGAGCACCCTGTTCCTAGCGACAGTGGCGTGCCGGACAGCATGAGGCCACATAGAATTGCTCAGCCCAGATTCTATGAGCAGCGCCCTAGCTGTCTCCAGAATGGTCCGGTTTGCCCGTTCTGCTACACCATTGGACTGTGGGGTATAAGCCGTGGTCAGCTCTCTCTGGATGCCCTGCTTCTTGAGCCAGGCCGTCATTTCAGCTCCAAGGAACTCACCACCCCGGTCTGTCCTAATCCGCTTCACTACACACTCCGCCTGCTTCTCCACGAATGGCAGCCAATCGTCCCGTATCGTGGAGGCGGCGTGGTCCTTCTGCTTCAGCGGATACGCCCACATCAGCCTGCTCCAGTCATCCACAATTGTAAGAAAATACCGCTCCCCCTTGTGTCCTTGCACCGGCAGCGGCCCCACCAAGTCCATGTGGACCAGCTCCAAAGGCTTCTTGCTCCTGCCAGCCACACTATGGAAAGGGAAACGGGTGAACTTTGAAAGCAAACAGATTTCACAGTTGTAATCGGGTGGCTGTCCGTTCAGCTTCAGACCCTTAACGGCTCCATCCTTCTCCAGCTGCTTCAGCAAAGGCATTGCCACATGCCCTAAGCGCCGGTGTGCCGTTGCCCAATCTGTCTCCCCAGATCTGGCCGACACTTTCACACCAACCCCTCCAACGGCATTGCACTCCCCCTGGGATGCAGACCCCTCTCCAGCCTGCCCCCCACCATGCCACGCCAGGGCCGGCAGCTGCCACATAGATCTGTACACGTCCTTGCTCTCGTGCAGATCCCAAAGCACCCGATTGCCCAGCTTCCCCTTATAAGTGCGTGCCCCATCCGTGTTGGTGTTCACCCCGGCGTTGCCAAGCTTACGGAGGGAGATAAGGTTGGCCTTCAGGTCGGGGACGAAGAGAACGTCGTGCAGCACCACCGGCTTGCCATCCGCTCCCTTAAACGCAGCTCGTCCCGCACCAGCCACCTTCAACATGTGTCCAGAGGCGGAGCACACTTCATTGATCGGTGCAGCTCGTACTTCGTCCAGCAGGTCCTTGCGCGGCGTCATCGTCCAAGCAGCGCCTGTGTCCAACACCCAATAGTCTAGGGGGTGCAGCTCTGCTCCAACTTTGGCAGAGGCGTCTCCTTGCTCCCCCTTGTCTCCCACATGGAAGAATTGGCCCGCGGTGCGCTCCTTCTTCTTCTCCGCACCGCCGTTGCCCTTCGGGTTGTTGTCGGACGAATCAGCGACCATGTTGGCGCCGTTTTTCTGGTTCCTTCGCGCGCCGCCATCCTGGTGACGATTCTGGGGGGTCCATCCATCGGGTTTCTTATAGCACAAAAACCAAGGGTGCCCTTCCTTCTCACAATACCAGCAACTCCCTTTCATTTTGCCACCAGCACCCGACTTGCCCCCACGTCCAGATTTCGCACCGCGACCCCAACCGGTACCTCCTTGTTGGTCGTTGGAGTCGTCGTCTTTCTTTGCACCGCGTCCAGCACCACCAAAGCCACGTCCTCTGCCACGTCGGCTCCCTTGCATCCCGTAGCTGCTGCTGCCGTCGTCTCCACCCCTCAGTTGGCGGCGACGGAAGTCCTCCTCCAGAATCTTCGTCCGCACCCACTCGAGCGTCCACAAGCTCTGGTTCTGCGGCAGGCTCAATCCGCTCGTAAATTGAAGCCACGATTCCGGCAGCAGCGAGAGCATCTTCAAGCACTTGGTCTGCTCCGGGTAGGTGATTCCCGCGGTCGCCAACTTCGCGTAGAGGTCGCGCATCTTGTCCAGGACTGGTTGCACCGGCTCTCCCTCGCTCAGGCGCAACGCGGACAGCTCCCTCTCCAGCATCAACGTTGCGACAACGGAGGTCGGGGCGTGCAGCTCCTTCAACACGGTCCACGCCTTCGGACCGCATTCAACCTCCGGCAGCAGGTGCATGACGTGGTGACGCTGGTTCAGCTCCAAACTCTGCGACATCAAATAGTAGCCAGCCGAGGAGCGCTCGTCCCAATCTTCCTGCAGCGTGGGGTCACTCGGTCTAGGCTCCTCCCCAATCATTAGTTTCAGCAAACCGATCTGACGGAAATATAATTGCATTTTCCAGGCCCAATCATCATAGCCCTCACCATTGAACTTCTCGACGGTGAAATTCTTCAGCACCTCCTTGACAAGCGAGCCCTGGTTTGTTCGCGCTCCCCTTGGCGCTGAAAGACCAGAATCTTGGCTGCCGCTACGATCTTGGGCTGAAGATTCACCAGCTCCCGCCGAGGTGTTGCCCGCCATAGCTACCTATAACGAGGATCACTATAACGCAGCTCTGATACCAGCTTGTTGGTGTAAGGGCCTAATAAACTCAAGCTATTAGGACTTAATCAAACTTAAAACCTCTCCTCGGGGTCACCTCCAAGGGTCCCTGGGTGCCTGGTACAAGACCAGCCCCTATCCTCGGGTCCGAGTTTGTAGAGAGAGGGATCAAGAAGGACTTAGTCAAAACAGCAAGAGTACCTTGAACGTCGCGCAGCGTGCCGTGCAGACCGTCGGTCGGATTAAGCTGAGAATTCGCTATATCGAAGCTCGCTCCAAGAGCTTTAAAATGAGCCAAGTTGCCTCGCGAAAATTTCTGCCATTACTAAGTTCTGGCTCGGACAGCGTTTGCCTAGCGTTGGAGTGCTAGCATACTAGCGTTGACTCAGGTAGCATTCCGCCGTCGAATAGCGCAGAAACGAAATTCCAGCGAGGAAGGAATTCGCTTGAATCAATTTTGACTATATTCAGGTACAAACAGAGAAGGATTAAATAGTTCTAGCTAGCAAGGACCTTGGGAATCAACCTGGGAACAACCAGGGATGATCCCAAATAATTCCAAGCAACAGAACCAACCTGGCTGGACAAAATAGCAGGTGGTAGGTTGGTAAACAACCTCTGGTTCTGTTTTTCCAACCTGGGAAAACAACAACCAGGTTCAGGTTCTAAAAACAGAACCTGTTTTGTCTTTGCCTAACCAGCCAAATGCTGGTTCCGCTGGTTTCCCCTGGCCTTGTAGCATGCAGATACAGACAAACAACATCCAACCTTCACCTAAATTGTACCCCTATAGTGCCTTCCCTGCTACACTATAGTTAACCAAACAAAACAGTACAATTTCGAGTTGGATAGAACTGAATCTGCGCAATCAACTCAACCGAACTGCAAAGCTTCCATCTTGGGTTCCTTTGCGAGCTCGTCCTTTCTGCTTGCACTGTTCATAGCGCGTACAATGTTGTGCCGAAGCGCACATTGCGCGAGTACCTGCAAATGCATCAAGCGAAAATTGCGAAAGCAAACAAACACACAAACATTCCATTCACACCCAAATGCATTCGCACACGCATACTCGTACAAACAGACGGCAGGATGTCGTGCAATGTAAATTTGCACCCAACATGCGTGCGTGCGTGCGTGCGTGCGTGCGTGCGTGCGTGCGTGCGTGCGTGCGTGCGTGCGTGTGTGCGTGCGTGCGTGCGTGCGTGCGTGTGTGTGTGTGTGTGTGTATGTGTGTGTGTGTGTGCGCCTTGAGACGAGCCCAGCTAGTGCAAACCTTCGCACATGCTAAAAAAAAAAAAAAAAAATTTGTTGAATGGTTCGTAGAAGTGGCTGTGAGGCTTAAGCTTGGATGGGACTGTTTGCTTCATGTGGGGCTTGAAGTGCAAATGTTTCTGGCCCGTTTGTACTTAATTGTTTCACAGCTTCCTATTCAGTTCATTAATCAAATGGAGAAAGAGTATGGGCACATTCTATACTAGAAAATTCTCACACAATATCCATATAGTAATACTCGAATCCAATCTTGTACTTGTTTGTACAGGTTGAACTCAAGGAATTTACCTAAATTGCATTATGATTTGAGCGATCGTTGTTTGGTTGGCAGAACGGTTCGTTGTCATAAATATTGTAGCTTTTTATGCAGGTGTCGTATGTGCTTCGACTTTATGTATATGTGCACACAAGTATGCATGTGTGTGCGTGTGCGTGCGCGTGCGTGCGCGTGCGTGTTTCTGTGTGCGTGTTTCTGTGTGCGTGTTTCTGTGTGCGTGTGTCTGTGTGCGTGTGTCTGTGTGCGTGTGTCTGTGTGCGTGTGTCTGTGTGCGTGTGTCTGTGTGCGTGTGTCTGTGTGCGTGTGTCTGTGTGCGTGTGTCTGTGCGTGCGTGCGTCTGTGCGTGCGTGTGTGCGTGCGTGCGTGCGTGCGTGCGTGTGTGTGTGTGTGTGTGCGCGCGCGCGCGCGCGCGTGCGCGCGCGTGCGTATGTGCGTGCGTGCGTGCGTGCGTGCGTGTGTGTGTGTGTGTGTGTGTCCAGTATACATATCGCTTATAACCCTCCCTCTTCCTTCGTTTCATTGTATCCTCTACCCATGGAACCCCATCAGAACCCTCTCATGGAACAGCTGGACGAGATCAATCCCTCCAGCTATCGGCAACTTTATCAAGCTAACAAATCGGTTAGTATCCATGATCACAGCGCATTTAGCATGTCCCTGTGTCCTTGTACAACAGCGCTCTTGACCTAACATACAAACCTCTGTGTGATTTTGACTGAAGAGAAGCAAACACCTGAAGCTTCAGAGGTGTCTCATGCAATAGGCATGTGCAAGAGTCTGAACTGAGCTGGCTAGCAATGGGCCAAATCTGACATGCTCATTCAAATGTAACAATCCAGGCCCAGACGGCTCATCATGAGTCAATTAGCCATGTGCCGCATGCTAAGGTAGTGTGACCCATAACGCAGGAAATTCTCATATAAAGTAGCAAAGTTTGCAAATCGATATCCACAACGGCTTTCCATGCATATTCTGATTGACAAATCTGCCCGTTGCCTCGCTCGTCCCCTCCTTTGAACTCCACTCCTGGCCAATCAGGGACCTTTTTGTCAACGGCTTAACGGGATCCATCCCATCCAGCATTGGCAGCTTAACAGCGCTCTCATACTTGTGAGTAGTCTCCATTAACTCGTTTCTCCCCATTGTGACCTACCTTATTATACTCGTAGTTGCAGCTAAGTCATGCAAGATGTTCCCGTTCTCTTCTGCACTTTGTGCACCATGCCCTTCGCCCCACCCTTTGAGGGGGATTGTTGTTTGCTCTCCTCACCATCCAACCCCAACCCACGTGTACTCTTCAATCCGCCCACCATCACCATCAATATTGATTCCGCGTTAACCGTCTGTCACTACTGTTATTTGAACATTAGCTGGACTCCTGTTTGGATGTTGAACAACCTAGTCTCCTTTTACTGATCAAAATTTCTGCTTTGTGATTCATGCAATCATCCCACTAATACTTGAGATTTTTTTTCTGTTCCCTCTTGTCCCTGTCACCTTTTCGTCCTCCATGAACAACCTTCGTGCTTCATTGGGGACCTATGGGAAAACTCCTTCACCGAATCGATTCCATCAGCCATTGGCACCTTCACCAGCCTGACATACCTGTCAGTAGTTCACATTTGTCCGCCCCAGCCAATGCCCATATTCACATGGAACTTCTAGCCTGAACTCGTGCAACGCAATTCCCAACATCCCCCGTTTATCCCCATGATAGGATATGAACTTTTCATTCTCATGAGGGTAACCGGCTGGCACATTTCTGTAAGGTTATTGGGCAATCACCATTTTTTGTTATGATTGTTTCAATCAGATTAGCTTCTTTTATACAACTCATTAGCCTGGTTTTTTATACAACTTAACGCAGTCCATGTTTCGGTTACTATGACGTGATGTGGGTTCGATCCCTGCAAGAAGTATTTAAGGGTGTGATACCCTCGTTTGGTCCCGTTCGGATGCAGTATCGGCTATTTTTTACGATGATGTACTTTCCCTATGACTGCGACTACACACACTTCACTCTAAAATACCGAGGTCCTAAAGACATTCATATTTCCTCTAAAAGTCCGGAAAGAAAGCACTTTGTAATAAGTTCCACATCACAACCCAGCTATGTGACGAAAGACGCATCTAGCGTCTTGGACGCTTGCGTCTAAATGCTGCGTCGAAGACACTAGACGCCCACTTGGGGCTAGTTAGACTCTGAAAAAGACGCAAGCCTGGGCATGCAAAACAAAAAAACTCCGGGCAGGCAAAAAAAACCGTCTACAAGGGGGGAAGAAGGGTTTCGGGACATAGCAACCACATTTAACATGGATTATCCTTAAAACCTTCCCTAAACACCGCATTTCCACATCCATAATGAAACCGAGATTTAGGGTTTTCGAAAGAGAATCAGGTCGACAAGGAGAGAAAGCTCCGAATGTCGAGCTGATTCTCTTCTTACATGGGGGTTCAGGTCGACAAGGTTGGGGGGGCGAAAGATGCAGTGCGGTAATGTGTGGTGGTTGGGGGAAAATGGTTGCTAGCGATTTCGCTTTGCCAAATTAGCAAAATTGTATCCCATTCTTATGCGATTTCGTTTGGCGATCTCGCTTTCATGAAGTTACACTTTCGCGGATTTAACATTGAAGACGAAATCGAGAATGGCGATTTCGCGGGTCGAATTTTTTTCCGGGCAGCTCGGAAAAAAAAATCACGTAGCGTCCTGCGTCTTTGCGTGCGACTTGCATCCTGCATCGTCCAGACGCAGGACACTCGCCCATCCTGAGCGTCTTTTGCCACATTTTCTTATAATAAGGGTCATAAGGATATTTCACACTGATATCCTGAGGCATCGCCGCGGTTCTCAACATCCACAGTTAATTCACCCCAGTTCTCAACATTCCAATTGATTCACTGCGATTCTCAACATCCCCATAAGAGGGACCGCTGTCGAGACATGAATATTTTCTCTCTCTGTACTTTCTTCCATGTTGTTTCCACAGTATATTTTGGTTATTTGGCCACATTGTTTGGGGGTTTGAGCTTTCAATCTCGGATAGTGGCATTGAGAAGCTAACAACTGCTTTAACTGACTCAGGACGAGATCTAAACATGCGATTGGTTGCCCTCTTGATAACGGTCTTTCTTTTTGGCCATTTTGGACTGATCTTGAACCCAACAGCCTGAGCAAAACATATGTGTCCCTTTTCAGCCATTCTGGACCTGGTTTGAACCCACCAGACCCAGGCGGGCCCTTTTTAGTTCACATCACCCAAGCCCGTAAGTAACAGGTTGGTAGCCATTATGAAGCTGGGCATTACGTTCCATAAACGTAATGCCCACGTGACTCGTTTCATGTAGGCCCAATCGACTCCTGCCAACTTCTTCGCAGGCCTGCTTTGCGACATTAGCAGCCTGATGGACATGGTCAGACAGAAAGATCTGACTCGCCCAAACCCAAGACCCTCATTGTCTCCCCTTTACCCCCATCTCCACCCTTCTCCAACCTCCCCCATCCTCGTCGTCCCCTCTCCCTTCTGTCACCTTCCCGCTCTGCACCCCTGGTGCTAACTTCGTGCGTGTTCAGAAACTTTCAGGAAAGCAACTTGACCGGGTCTATTCCATCAAGCATTGGCAGCTTGAGGAAGCGTGTAGCCCTCTCAGTCTCCCACCGTATTACTCGGTTCCTCCTGGTTCTTGACAGTGATGTGCAAAGCTGTTTGCAAGTATGAACGGTAGGTTACTTAAGTGTTGTCCTTCCTTGTGTGCATACTTGGTAGCCATCTACCATTTCATACTATTTCTTTCCTCTGTTGTTGCTCCCTCTGTATCTTCTCTTGTACACTTTGAAAAAAAATATTCTTCGTTCTTATCAGGGATCTTACTGCAAACCACTTCAGCGGGACAATTCCATCAACCATTGGCAACTGATCAGTCTAACACGATTGTCAATTTCAGCTTCTTGAGTGGTCTTCACCCATTGTCTCGCGATAGCGATGATGATGTTTGAATGAAACTCTCTCCATGGCTCATGTGTTGTATATAAGAACCATTGACCTCTACTAGAGAAAGGAACGAAATGAAGCACAACAATTATGAAATCACAGAACTAGGCTGGTTGGCTGGAAGTGCTAAAAGTCATTACTTCATGATTCTGCTCATTTTCTTCCATGTTTGTGTTCTTCAAGGTTACTCACCACTGCCATATGTCTCTCTTCTTCCTTATTCCATTTCCTACCCATGAAATATACCTCCCATCCCTTCATCGCAAAATGCCCTCAAATGTCCACCTAATAATGACAGTTGTGGAGTCGATCAAACCATCGAGAGTGCCTTCTGTAACGAATGCAAATTCTTCTGCAATACTTGCTCCAGCGTAGCACCACAGGAGGAAAACCCGTTGACCTCTCAGTAGTTTTTAACTAGCAGCCGCATGAATATAGCAACTTCATTACTACCACTCCCCTCTCTATTTCCAAACATGCAACCCCGCTGCTTCATTAAGTCTCGTAATTTTTCAAATATCCCTTACCAACATTTCCCCCCATATCTACCCCTACGACAGTGCATCTCCCGCCCGCGCCTGGAGCTTCACCCTCCCAATCTGAAGGCGGTCTATCAGCAGGAGCCATTGCTGGCATTGTGGCTTCTGCTGTGTGTGCGGCCTGCTGCTACTGCTGTTGGCTGGCGCACTGCTGTATAGGAGAGGTTGCATGAAGGAAGCAGGAGGAGAAGCAGGCATGTCTAGAGTAGCAACAGCGGCAGCAGCAGTAGGGAAGAAGGGGGGGCAGTAGAGATTGGAGCAGCATGGCCACAGGTATGTTAGGAGTACTCTCTGGAAGACCTGGCTAAGGCAACGGCAGAGTGGGCAGAGCAGAACAGACTGGGTAGTGGCAGCTTCAGTGATGTATACAAGGGTGTGTCGTCGCTTTGCAGCACATACGTGGGGCTGTCAAACGGGCCAGCGTGCTCACCAACAACTTCCACAGAGAGGTAGTTCCACCCGTGCCTACACTGCTCATGTGTTCCACCCGCCGTGCCCGCATTGCTCGGTAGTTCCCCCCGTGCCCGCACTGCTCAATAGTACCATCAGAGCCCGCACTGCTCGGTAGTTTCCACCCATGCCAGCATTGCTTAGTAGTTCCACCCGTGCCCACACTGCTCGGTAGTTCCACCCGTGCCCACACTGCTTGGTAGTTCCACCCGTGCCCGCACTACTCGGTAGTTCCACGCGTGCCCGCACTGCTCAGGTGTTTCGCCTGTGCCTGCACTGCTCAGGTGTTCTGTTGGTGCAAATGCACATTGCACGACATCCTGCCGTCTGATTGTACGAGTATGCGTGTGCGAATGCATTTGCGTGTGAATGGTGTGTTCGTGTGCTTGTTTGCTTTCGCATTTTTCGCTTGATGCATTTGCAGGTACTCGCGCAATGTGCGCTTTGGCACAACATTGTATGCACTATGAACAGTGCAAGCAGGAAGGACGAGCTCGCAAAGGAACCCAAGATGGAAGCTTTGCAGTTCGGTTGAGTTGATTGCGCAGATTCAGTTCTATCCAACTCGGAATTGTACTGTTTTGTTTGGTTAACTATAGTGTAGCAGGGAAGGCACTATAGGGGTACAATTTAGGTGAAGGTTGGATGTTGTTTGTCTGTATCTGCATGCTACAAGGCCAGGGGAAACCAGCGGAACCAGCATTTGGCTGGTTGGGCAAAGACAAAACAGGTTCTGTTTTTTTAGAACCTGAACCTGGTTGTTGTTTTCCCAGGTTGGAAAAACAGAACTAGAGGTTGTTTACCAACCTACCACCTGCTATTTTGTCCAGCCAGGTTGGTTCTGTTGCTTGGATTATTTGGGATCATCCCTGGTTGTTCCAGGTTCATTCCCAAGGTCCTTGCTAGCTAGAACTATTTAATCCTTCTCTGTTTGTACCTGAATATAGTCAAATTGATTCAAGCGAATTCCTTCCTCGCTGGAATTTCGTTTTTGCGCTATTCGACGGCGGAATGCTACCCGAGTCAACGCTAGTATGCTAGCACTCCAACGCTAGGCAAACGCTGTCCGAGCCATAACTTAGTAATGGCAGAACTTTTCGCGAGGCAACTTGGCTCATTTTAAAGCTCTTGGAGCGAGCTTCGATATAGCGAATTCTCAGCTTAATCCGATCGACGGTCTGCACGGCACGCTGCGCGACGTTCAAGGTACTCTTGCTGTTTTGACTAAGTCCTCCTTGATCCCTCTCTCTACAAACTCGGACCCAAGGATAGGGGCTGGTCTTGTACCAGGCACCCAGGGACCCTTGGAGGTGACCCCGAGGAGAGGTTTTAAGTTTGATTAAGTCCTAATAGCTTGAGTTTATTAGGCCCTTACACCAACATGTTCCACCCGTGCCTGCATTGCTCGGTTGTTCCACCCGTGCCTGCACTGCTCAGATGTTCCCCTTGTGCCCGCATTGCTCAGGTGTTCCACCCGTGCCTGCACTGCTCAAGTGTTCCACCTGTGCCCGCACGTACACTTTTGCACTTACAACTCATGTTGATGTTTTTTCAAGTTTCATTCTGTTAAATCTCAATCATTGAACTCTATTCCTTTCCATGTGGAAGAAATGGCCAGCAAGCACCACCCGCATCTGGTACGGCTGTTGGAGTGCTGCATTGACATGGACACAACCACAAGGTGCATTGAAATCTTGGTCTATGAGTACATGGAGAACAATGACATGGAAAGCTGGATCGAACCTGGTGACTCTCACCCTCTTTGGAGATCAACGTCAAAGCGTTCTTATTGGAGTAGCGAAAGGGTTTCAGTACTATCTTTGGCATTGTGCACCGAGACATCAAGCTCGCCAACATTCTCCTCGATGGAGAAATGCAGGCAAGTAGTTCCGTATGTGTGTGTATGTGTAGTTATTTCAACCCTTCACCCGAGCCAGCTCCTCTCATTATTGTGGGTCGTTTCCCCCTTCGGATCATTTCCCAATTTCACATAGAACGATTCACTATTCTTTTGCCTAATCGTTCACATGTTTTTGATTTTGCTGGTCGTCGGCAGGCCAAGATACGGATTTTGGGCTGGTGAAGCTGAGTGGAGGCACTTGCACGGGCACCTTTGTGGCGGCCACTAGAGTGATGGGCACATTGGGCTATGTGGGCCCTGCCTACTACAAGACACGCAATGCTACTCCAGCTGCAGTGCCGAATGGTACATGCCGGTGTTTTTTTACAAGGAAGTATGTCAGAGTGATGGGTCTATCAGGCTATGTGGACCCGACCAATTACAACACATACAAGGTCACTCCAGTTGCAAAGGTGCACGGGTGAGTTTGGAGCAGTGTGCGTTGGAGAATGTGAAATTTGGTGATAGGAGTAAAAACATTTTGCATGCATTGCTAAACTCAAACTTTGTATGGGCTTTACTCTCTTGCATGGCAGCTTTGAGTGGTGATGCTGGTTGTGATCATGACACGCAAGGCCATCCACGTGACCGAAGACGATCAGATCAGCCTCAAGCAATGGGTAAGTAATAAGTATTACA